CTGATAAAAAAATATTCCGTATCATAACGTATGAAGCTAGATCGGTTATGTGGCAAGGACGACAGGCAGCAGGAACACAAAACTAATCATCGATCAGTACCCACTAAATGACAAAAGAATAGCTGAAAGGTCACCGATATGCTAAGCTAATCCTTAAACTCAAATCTATGGTGTGCTGTGGATAGGGCATCGATGGTATAATTACCGGGTACATTAATGGAGACTGGTCCAGTTACAAGTCCGCGACGGTAAGCTAGTAGCATTTTTAAATATGACTAGACACGATTATTCCGTTTGTTTTTCTTGCTTTTACTTTCTTTCCTGCTTTTACTTTCTTCTTGCTTCCCTTTTCCACCTTCCACCTGTTCCTCTCTCTCTTTCTTACGTGGCCTAGGCATTTCTCATATTTATCAAGAACGATTATTCTATTGAAATGCACAGTTCCGTTCAAACTATCTCATATATATGGCAGCCGTTACTACTGCTCTAACAGGAAACATATCTCCCGGGAAAAAGAAGAATCTGGACGTAAATGTATCAGACGAGGAGCTGGAAGAGAGGGCGATATGTAATTGAGCAGTAAACATTCGACAGAATTCAGAACAATTCAAACAAAAAGTACCGGTTTTGCTTTGAGATCGATGTTGAACGAAAGTATCAGTGCCTGCGAATCTTCCGGATTCATTGCATCTTCGATCAAAATAATTTCCACTTCACGCATCAAACAGTTCACTGTCATTGTACCTGCAAGTACAGTACTGAAACGATATTTCTTAGCTATAACAATCTATGTGAAATGAAATGACAAGTAACGATCATTAAATGGCCGAATCAAAAGTGAATGGTGCAACTGGGGCGACAAAAGTGGGTGAAATTTGCAAAAAAATTTTTGCGATCGTTGATAGTTTGTGAATTAACGGCCAATCCGAACTGAGTAAAATGCGGAACAGCCGTAGTTTCAGCTTTATAAAAGCTGTGTAGCGATTAAAACATGTTATAAAACTGTTACAGTCAGCTGCTGCGATTAAAAGAGTATTAGAGCAAAGAAAGCTAAAGAACTGTCTCTTCGTGACCATATAAGCAATCAGACTCTTCTCAGAAAAGCAGGGCGCAGGATGTCAATGCGACCACTCAAGAAAGTAAAATCCGACGGGCAAGGCATATTATTGGCTTTGCTGACAATCGTGGACGTCATGTATCGATAAACGATACCCGCGAAAGAGTAAACAACCATTTGGGTAGCATTTGAAGAGGTAAGCACATATGTACGAACCAAATCGGTGGAAGAATGCAGCTCAGCATCGAACGATCTGGCATAGTGAGAGTACCCCAGCAACACCACTAACAATGACTACCCACACTGACTCTTTGAACAATTATGGACAAAATAAACACTAATCCAAATCACTTGCTCTCTCTTTTTTTTAAACTCAAATTTCTAACAAACCTGCAGGCGCTGGGGCTTCCACAGGCCGTTTACTTTGTGTAATATTCGGAATATTGACAACATCCGCTTCTTTCTCCAATTCTTCGGGCGTTTTTGCCACCGTGAAGAAGCTCATCAATGCACCAAGAAACTCGGGACAAAGGCAGAGGAAGAATGCCGATGAGGATAAGCCAACTGAAACAAAGGAAAATTTCACATGAAAAATTTGTTCCAAATTGATCTTACCATTAGCAGTATGCATGGGGTGCATGCATGTTCGACAAGACCCAGTGGTGTCTGTTGGTTAGGAATATATACAACTTAATGGATCGAAAAATTCCTGCTCTTTTGATCATCTTTTAATAAATGCCAAGACCGCTGGGACTATCAGCGTAGTAT